AATAAAAGTGCATGTAACATATGCTCATGCACATCCTTCTGAAAAATACATCATACAAAAACAAATATTGTTGCCTCATTGTCAGTATTGGTAGACATGTCAACCTGGATTGTGTACTTTGGTGACTCATTAATCCCAACAATTGTTCATCAATATCCTGTGCTCTTTCATCAGTTGATCTAATTATGAAGCTAACTGAAAGAGGAACACATGCCATCTTTGAACCACAGCCTCTCCTCAAAGTTCATGACAGATGTCCTTACAGCAGGCAGGATCAGTAAAGGGCTTCTTAGCTTTAGCAATGAAGTTAGCCTCTAAGAATTATGCTCTCAGTGCAGACACACTTCATGAAGTGGGAGTCTTCAGCAATTTCTTCTGTTCATTATGTTTACTTTTTTTTTTTCTTTGGTAAAACTCTAAAGCCATGTCTTTTAATGCAGGGTTCTTGGTCACCATGTGGCAAAGCAGTTTTGAAGGTTTTCATGGCTTCCTAGGATAGCAGATCTCCACACATTGTACAGAGTGGTCTTGGAGAATGTGAGCCACCAGTTGCAATGACCCTGTAATTTAAGTAGGACTCTTGGTGTTCTCTTTAAGTGCAGCTTTCTTTTTGTTGGCATTCTTGGGGTCTTCTGCTGTGTCATCATAGGGTCTTTCCCCTTTTCAAAGAAGCTCTTCAATAACGTTTATTTCTTACTCATTTTGGCTAGGCCTAGCTTGTGGGCTTACCAAAACTGTCACTGAAACAAGTGTGCAGTCTGGGAAACAGGCACGGATAGAAGCATTAAATATAAGCATGGATGTTCTGTATGTGGACTAAAATAAGTGGCAGATTTTCACTTAAAACCTACTACCAGATGCAGCGGAACAGCTGAAGTATATCAACTCACCTGTCACTATAAAGCCTGCCACAAGATGCAGCTTGCCACTTGCCACTTACTGATAGGGTTTTGATATGCGTCTGCAAGTGATTGATCTATTATGACCTCTGTGTAGTCAAACCTCTTTGCTAACGTTAATCTGTATTTGCAGCTGCTCTCCAGTGCTAACATCACCACCCCAGATCGTCAGGCCTTAGATTCTCATAAGGAGCATGCAACCTAGATCCCTTGAAGGCATAGCTCACAATTGAAGCTCCTATGAGAATTTAATGCTGCTGATGATCTGACAGGAAGAGGAGCTCGGGTGGTGATGTGAACGATGGGGAGCTGCTGTAAATACAGATGACGCTTCCTTTGCTAGCCTGCCTCTGCTCATCTGCTGTGCGATCCACAGCTGGCTGGGGAACCCAGACTTACAGAGTTTCTTGGTTATGGAGCAGTGGAAGTGGATGGTTAGTAAAAAAATAAATAAATAAACATACAGCCAGGTGCAGTGGCTTACACCAGTATTCCCAGCATCTTGGGAGGCTCAGGAGGGTGGGTCATGAGAACGAGAGATCCAGGCCATCCTGGCCAATGTGGTGAACCCATGTCTCCTAAAAATACAAAAATTAGCTGGGTGTAGTGGTGCACACCTGTAGTCCCAGTACTCAGGAAGCTGAGACAGGAGAATCGCTTGAACCTGGGAGGTGGAGGTTGCAGTGAGCTGACAGAATAAGAATAAATAAATAAGTAAATAAACAAATAAAAAGACAAATAGTTAACTAATAGTAAGTTATAATAACGTGAGGAAAGCAAAATGAGAGACAGTGCTACTTTAGAGAGGATTGTCAAGCAAGGCATTTCTGAGAATATAATATTTGAGTCAAAAACCAAAAATGAGAAAGATACAGCTCTCCAAAGCCAGGAGGAAGGCCTTGCAGAGAGACAAAAGAGCAAGTTTCTAGTACAGAGCATGGGAACAGCCAGGGGTGTTGGAGAAATGGGCTAGTGTGATCAGGGAGGAGAGAGTGGGACCAGCAGCATGGAGCCAGGGACCAGGGCAAGAACTCACAGGTGTTAAGATCCATTAAGAGTGACGATTTTACTCTAAGGGCAGTGGAAAACCGGGAGAGTTCCATGATTTGATTTCCATGTGTAATAGTTTTGGTTGCTAAGTAGAGAACAGACTTAGGGATAGATACGGAGTAGAAGACTAGTTACCAAGTCCAGCTTTATCATGCATCTGCCTAATAATTCATGACCTTACCCACCAGCAACCTTCACCAATCAGTCTTTTAATCTTAAGTTCAATTTAGGTTGTTTCAAACAGAGAATATTTTTATTGGTTTGTTTTTGTAGGTCATATGGCTCATCTATTATTGTGATGTTAATACAAATGGAATTGAGAAAACAATTTTTTTCTAAAGTTTTGGTTTTTAAACTATCAGTGGTGTCACTGTTAATACAGAGATAAAAATACATTTTCAGTTTCTAGAACTGGCATTTCTCTCAACATTGTCTGGCATCAGTTATAAAAATGACAAATGTTAGCCTTCAAACTGGAAAACAGAATATCAACTACATTCCACAAAAATTGTAGAAATCGGCACATAAGGCTGAAACATTCTAATCGAAAAGGAGATAATGAGTGTCAATTATGAGTATAATTAAGCATTATTCTTAGTAGTAAGAAGGATACAATGAATAACAAAAAGTCTAGATAACGAGTCATCAAAGGTGATGGAATAATAAGGAAGATATGGGGTACCTTCGTCAATACCAATGAAACGGCTTGATGAGAACAACCAATTTCAGCAATGCTATACAAAACATAGTTTTTATTACAAAATAGGTGTTAAATACATATGTATTGAAATAATAACTACATATCTGTTGATTTAGATGAAGAAACAAATTACTAATAGGAAGTATCTTGATCCAAATGATCTATGATATCTCCATTTTTTAAGTAGAAATTGCTTTCACTTTTTTCCTGTTTTCTAAAAATATTTTTAAATTGATTTTTTAAAACAGATTTTAAAAATTGATTTTTCAAAATAACTTTGCAAAGGAATCTGTGTCTTGTTTCAAAATGTATTAGCCATTTTTAATAGTCTATAATAAAGTAATTCTAAATAGTTCATATAATCAGATTGTAGCATGGCCAGTCCAAGCCTCTCAGTTTCAACTGATCAGTTCATGTAACTGTTTCACAAAACAGGAAACAAACAAGGCCAACAACAAGATCTTTAATGAAGATAACCAAACTAACAATCAGGTTACAGGTTTTGCATATCCAGGCACACACACAGAAACGCACTTAGATACACGCATGCGTACCACACCCATGGTCTCAATATCCAGAACTAATCTCCTCCAGGAAGATGCTGCTTGTTATATGGTAGTCCTGAGGTTTTTGGAGCAGCATCTCATAAAATATTTGTAACTCTAAAAGATTTTCACTCACAGATGATACCGTGATAGTGAGAACAAATTACATTTCCCAGTCATCGTTTAACTTATGCGCTAAGTTCCTTTAATGTATAGTCATTGAGGCCTTTGCCCACTCATAAGTCAAAGAAAGTTCAGCTCAGAGTGACAAAGGCTACAAGTGCGTGTATTATTTCAAAAGGCAAAAAAGCCCAGTTTCAGGTAGACAGAAGGAATACGTTCAAGAAGTCACCATGTTAGCTGGAGTTAGTAGCAATATATTCTGGAATATACTTGAAAATTGCCAAAGTGTAGATATTAAATGGCCTTACGGTGCAAGAAAATGATGGCTACATGGATTACGATGTGAATCAGCATGATTCAGCCATTTGACATGTACACATATATCAAAACATCACATACCAAAACATCAAATACCAAAACATCACATACCAAAACATCACATTGTACACCAGAAATGTAAACGATTTTTACTTGTCAAATGGAAGAAAAGGATAAATCTTGGAGAAACACAACTCCAGAATAAGTTACTTCATAAGTATATGCAATGACTATGTATTTATTATGTAATAAGTATATGTACATAATATATACTTATGTAATAATTAAAATTTAATTTTTTTTAACAATAGGAATGTATGTATATCAAATAAGATAATAGAGTGTCTCAGTGACATTATTAATGACTTGTGGGTCTCCACCTTTCCATTCTGCTCATCATCACAGCATTTTCAACATTGTAAGTTGGCTACTTCATGATTTTACAATGACCCGTACAAGCATGACTGCAATGTAAGCCAGAAAAAATGGTATACACCTTGTCTGTATTACAAGGAAAACTTTCTCAGAAACTCTCTAAAAGACTCATCTTTGTATTTCATTGGCTGCATACCTACCTCAAAATCAATTCCAGAAATGAGAATGAGACCCCCAATTTGCGTTTTAACCTTAGAAAACATCTTAGACTCATGATACAGCAGGCTTCCCCAGAAATGCATAAATAAGCAGAGGACAGGTGGCTGAGACTGGGCTTGGCTGTGAGGAAGATGGGGAGAGTGGGTGTTGAGTTGACAAACTAGAATACTGAGGAATGCTTTGAAAGCTAGCATAGTATGAAATGCTGCAGATAAAGGTTTGATGAAAACAGGATTGTTCCGTCAGCCAAAAAAAAAAAAAAAGGAGTTCTAGATTTTTACATTTTAATTTGTGCTTCAAATATTCTGGTTAAAAATTGTGTTACAACACTTTACAGAATATTTTGAATCAGCAAAGAGGATAGTGTCTAGAAGACAGGGAAATTGCCCCAAACCTTGAATTACCTATGGATACATTTTACAAAAACATCTCTTCTGTGGTTACGGAGAATAGATAATATAATTAATTTAATCATTCTACCTATGGAGTTATAGGTAATGAGTAAGCTTTTTTATTTGATAATTAGGTGCAAAAGTGGCATTAGAAGCTTTTTTTAAATAGTGTTTTTTTTTTTGTATTGAGAAAAACCTTCTAGTAATACTAAATTAACATTTCAGTCCCAACATCGTTATACACTTTTTATTTCACCACTTACTCTCCCCAATGTGCTTTCTAAGGCATATTTCTGGATAATTTAATGATGCATAACTCAAAATCACTGTAAGTAATAAGTGTGGAATGGGACTAATTGTCTTTTTCTCAATTTTTAAGATCCTGACTTTAAGGACCTTGGAGCTTTGAAACCATTACCAGGTTGGTAAAACAGATATTTAATACTGTTCTGAAGACTTTGTTTTCTGCTGTGAAATACACTTTTGGTTTATTATTCAAGCTCCATTTTTGTGTGTTTATTTGCCATTCTGTTATTTAGTGTGTGAGTTTGAGATGGGTGGTCCCGAAGGAATTGTGGAATCTATACAAATTATGAAGGAAGGCAAAGCTACGGCCAGTGAGGCTGTCGACTGCAAGTGGTACATCCGAGCACCTCCACGGTCCAAGGTCAGTCTTAAGATGAAACCCACACTTGACAGCTGACATGAGAAGCATCTATAACGTGCATCGCTTTGAAGCAGCTGGACATGTCTAATCCATTTCCGAGTGCAGCCATCATAGGCTATGATTTCATTTTGGTTTTGGGGATGTAACTTGTCTTCTCTTGTCCAATCTAAATTTGATGTCGTAAATAGCAATCTAGAAAGATGATGTGTTGAAGAAATGTCTTCGATGTGTCAAAGAAATCATGTGATAAACTCGACAAGAGACTTTAAGGTAAGTTGACCTCTCTGAAATATGGATTGAAATGGTATGTGAGATCCATGGCTCTAAGTGTAATTACACTTATGCTCTGATTGTCAAGATCTGTAGTTGGTTTATTTTATAAACTAAAATCATATCTGTAGAAGAAGTTGCCTGGGGCCTACAAAATCATGAATATCTGGCATGTAAAATACAAATGCAGCAAGGGCTGGTAGCAGTGAGTGGTAAGAGGGCCTGGGAGATCCTGTGCCCACTTGAAGGAGGCAGGCATGACTTAGCTGTCCATGAAGCTCCTTGTGATTGCTGCTATGAGAAAATGAGGGTCCAGCATTATCAAGTCCTTCATCATTTCTCATAATTTGCCAAAAATCTAGATTTTATGTTGAGCACCCTGATTTTTGAGGGTTGGGTTTAATTACAAAAATTAGAAGTATTGGTGGGGCATGGTGGCTCATACCTATAATCCCAGAACTTTGGGAGGCCAAGGCAGGCAGATCACAAAGTCAGGAGATCAAGACCATTCTGACCAACATGGTGAACCCCTGTCTCTACTAAAAATACAAAAATTAGCTGAGTGTGGTGGCGCATGCCTGTAGTTCTAGCTAGTTGAGAGGCGGAGGCAGGAGAATTGCTAGAATCCAGGAGATGGAGGTTGCAGTGAGCCAAGATTGTGTCATTCCACTCCAGTCTGGTGACAGAGTGAGACTCTGTCTCAAAAAAATTTAAAATATTACATGTATTAAACTAAATCTATTGTGGGATAGAGTTGGACTCAGGTCTCCATTTTGGAAACACTTCTATAGAACAACTATGTTGATCCTGCTTATGGAAATATTTTTCAAAATACAGAGGATAAGTTATTTTGTGCCAGCAGGTGTCACAGGTCTAAGGTGTTATTTGTTCATTCTCTGGTTTTTGTTTTTAATTCCTCAGTTACAAAGTTATAAGCAAAACAACGGACTTACTAAATTTGTAGTCATCTATTTATTGGTTGAAACAGTGTGTTATTTATTTAATTGATTTTGTGACTCTATAAAGTCTCAAGCACTCTGCCAGAAACATGGAAAAGCATGCCAGGCCCTGTGCTCAGGTGTTTCAATTTAGTTCTCAGACAAATATGTAACAGAATAATCTAAGCAGTAAGGTTGGATCATTGTGGTATTTATAAGATATAACAGAGAGAGATAAAAGACCCCTTATACCAAATAGTGTACATCAAAGGTAGAAAGGTACAGCTGTCAGGATTCTGGTGAATCTTAATGAGAAGTATTCTGCCAGGTAGACAAGGTGAGAAGGCTCTCCAGGCAGGGGGAATAACGTCTATAAAGTCATGGAATCACAAGAGAGAAGAGAGTATGCTTTTTCAGGAATTAATGTAATTACACGTGACCAAATGAAAGCATGGATAGGGAGGTGGTGTCGATCCCTTAACCTAAAGTGTTCTCTAAGCCTCTCTGAAGAACTCAGACTTCATTCTGAGTGCTTTTGTGATATACGGAAAAACAAAGCAGAAAAGTGTTATGACCAGGTTTGCATTTTAGGAACGTTGCTTTGTCCTCCAAAGAAGGGACTGAGGAGTGAACACTGCAAGGAGAAGAGCAAGTGGAAAGCTGTGGCGGTAACCCCAGTGTTGGAAATTAGGCCATGGTGAGCAGATATGAAGGAAATATAAGAGAGATAGGATAGAATTTGGTGACTGGATATTTAGGCCGAGGGAAAAAGAAGAGCCACTTTTTTTTTTTCTTTTTTGAGACGGAGTCTCATTCTGTCTCCCAGGCTGTAGTGCAGTGGTGCAGTCTTGGCTCACTGCAACTTCTGACGCCCACGTTCAAGCAATTCTCCAGTCTCAGGAAGTGCAGGTGTCTGCCACCACACCTGGCTAATGTTTTTTTCGTATTTTTAGTAGAGACGGAGTTTTGCCATCTTGGCCAGGTAGTCTCAAACTCCTGCCTCAGATGGTCTGCCCTCTTCCGCCTCTCAAAGTGCTAGGATTCCAGGCATGAGTCATCACTCCCAGTGAAGAGCCATTTTTGAGGACACTGGTCTTTCTTCACTTGATTTTTCCTTGAATATGTCTCCAGAGTTTGCATATGAAATGGAAATGTGGGTCCTTTCCCCCAACTTTCAGTCACAGAGATTCAGAGATCATGCTCGAGCTTCCAGCCTTGTTGCTTGCATTTCTCTTTGACTCTGAACAAATCTTAGAGAAAGTTAGTTGCATTATGAAGAAAGACAGTTATTTTTCTTTTTTTTTTAAGTAAAAATCGATTGTGCACACAAAATCATAAAAATCCACTACCTGTATAACAAGAGATCTAGTTTGCAGTTTATTTTGCTCTTTTCATAAAACGTGGATTCACATACAAGGGCTATTTATTTTTCTTAAACTCCACGAATGATTTTTAAAGACTTTTTAAAAAGTAGAGTGATATGTGCCACACCTTACTGTCATAACTGGAATTTTTGTCACTACAGTCTTAAAGAGAAGGGTTTCATGGTAGTGTAAATGCACACTCTTTTCTTCCACCTGGTAAATAGACTGTCTTTTGTACAATCTCAGAGCAACAATAAACAATGTACCTGTCTGTTATAGAATTTGGCATTCTGTGACCCAAAGGGGAAGCTGCCTGCCGAGCTGGACAAAGATAGCTCTATTGTAACAGGCTTTCTCTGTTAAATTAAAGGTTAGGGAATAGGAAGTGGCTTTGAATACTGTGGAGAAAAGCAAGAACTGGAGATTACTGCCTATGTGGACTTTCTATTTTTATAGAGTTTCTAGCAGCTTATGAGAAGAGACTATCACAGAGCAAGTTATACTTGAAATAGCTCGTGGTGAACATTTGAATGACACCTGGCGACTAAACCATATTGCACAAGGAAAGTGCTGAATAGCTTACTTGGGCTCTATTGACATGTATGCGCATTATTTACTGCTTTTCAGGCTTTTGGCAAACAGAAAATATAATATCCGATGTCTCCTTTGCTAAAGGATATTAATCTAGATGGTCCCCTTTAATTAGAATGTGATTAATCCAGATTTTTTAGAATTTGGAAAACCAGAGGCAGAAAGAAACTTGTTACTGACTAGATCATTTAAAAGATGAATAAACTGAGTCAGGATAATGAAATTCAATATGAGTTAACAAAGAAATGTAGACATATGCCTCGCTGAGCAAATGTTATGAGGTCTAATTCAGATTCTGGTCTGGAAAACAGCCATCAGAATGAAATGATGGGAGACAGAATCACGGTAACTATTAATTTCATGAAGCCTAGACCAGATTTATCTCCAGACATCCAAGGCCAATCACAATGTCTGTTAATCAATTAAAATTCATGGAATAAATAGATTTTTTCTAAAAGAAAGGAGATGGTAGCAATCTTCAAACATTTGAGGAACTGTCACATGAAATAGGAATAACACTTTATCTGCAGGAGTAAGGCCTTTAAGTATTGCAGTTTATTTGAACATTTGAAACTAGAGAAACAGCTTTTAATGTAACACAGAGAAAAACCTTTTATTTTAATAACAAAGATTGAATGAGATTTTACAGGAGGAATCCAAGCAAAGTCTGGCAGAGATTTTGTATAATAGTTGAAAGTCAAGTAATATTTTGTTACAGATAACGTGAAAGTCCTCTGAAAACCAAAATCTAGTGAATCTATGATAAGTGACTTGCCCACAAGTTTGGCTATTTAGCAACAGAGCTCGAGCAAGATTAGCACCTCCCAATTCCTGGTCCCATTTGCTCTCACAAAACTACATTCTTTGAGGAAACGATCACAGTTTTTACAAATTAATTTTAAAATATTTAAAAAAATTATTTAAATTGACCAATAGTACTTGTTTATATTTATCGAGTAGGGCAGATACAGGATAAGGGATTGAGTCAAAAGATGTATAAAAATACATAAATGAAGCTAAGTCAGTGTTTAATGTTTTGGGATAATAAAACTCTAGCTTCTGCTGTTTGCCCATCATTTCATACTTAAAGTTGGCTCTTAATTTATGGTTAACTAATTCAAAAATATTTTTGTTCAAATTAAAATAAAAATATAAAAATTTGACAAACATAATGTCTTGTCTTGTAAAGTTGTGATAAAGGTGTTAAAGTTACTTATATGATAAACATACATTTTCAGCTACAATTCTTGGGATTGTGAATATGATAAATTTGCCTATGTGATTAAGGTTACCAGTCAGGTGACTTTGAATTCATCAAAAGATAGATTATCCAGGTGATCCTAATCTAATCACACGAGCTCTTTAAAAGCAGAGCAGATTCTTTGGATGTGAATGAAAAGGGAAGAGAATCAGAGGCCTAAGAAATGTGTTCTGGGAGTGAGGGTGACCCCCGTACGCAGTCTTCCAGAAAATAGAGACCTTTGTCCTAGAACTGTGAGAAACTGGATTTTCAGCCTCATCTGCCCTCACTAAAGAACCCAGTACTTTCACCCTACAGGACTATTAATAGTAGACGGTAATTGGGTGTTAACTAAAGCTGCTAGAATTGTGGTGACTTGTATGGAACAATAGAATATTTAAGCAATAAACCAAGTGTAATAACTTAATTGATTACAAAGATAAGCATTAAGGTTTCTGAAGATTGAGTTTGCTTTTATCTCCAAAAAGTGAGAATAAAATTTCGAAAACAAAGTAAAAATTTTAAATAGCTAACTACCAAAAAATTGTTCAGTTTAATTTTTTTTAAATAAATGTCAATTCTTTAGTCTCATATTTT